TAGGTGTCTGCCACAATGTCCTGCTATTTTTTAGGGGGGGTGTCACCCTCTGGCTCAGGCTGGTCTTGAACCTATGAGCTCAGGCAAATCCACCCACCTCGGCCTCTCAAGTGCTGGGATTACAGGCATGAGCCATGGCACCTGGCCCAGTTTACTCTTGTTTTTTAGTACTAATGAAGCACTTGTAATTTTTTCTAACATGGATTCTCTTCCATTTTTTTAAATGGTAACAGAATAAGGCATTGGCCAACTATTTTTGGAGTAGTCACTAGAAAAAGCAATACTCATGTTCTTACTTTTAATTTTCAGTGTCAAGTTAATATATAGGGTATAATATCTGTCTGGTGGTCTACTTTGAACTAACAATGAATATGTAAAGGAAACTAAAAAATCTCAGGACCTTTCTTTGTAGGAGTTGTCCTTATGCAAAAAGAAAGCTCAAGAGGCTTGGGGCCAAGTGCAGTGGCTCACGCCTATAATCCTAGCACTCTGGGAGGCAGAGATGGGTGGACTGCTTGAGCTCAGAAGTTTGAGACGAGCCTGCGCAAGAATAAGACCCTGTCTCTAAAAAATAGCCAGGTGTTTGTATGACTGTAGCGGGTACCTGTAGTTCAGCTACTTGGGAGGTTGAGACAAAAGGACTGCCTGAGCCCAAGAGTTTGAGGTTGCTATGAGCTATAACAAGCATGTCAAAGCGAGACTCTGTCTCAAAAATAATAAATAAATAAAGTTCAAGAGGCTTGAACATCATCAATTATTCAGATCTCCATGAAAGGGTAAAAGACCTCAGGCATCTGTAAGAACTGAGCCCACATTATTCATAAGGAAATTCATTACAGGCCTCCTATAAACAAGAACATGAAAAGCTTAACTTCAGGTTTATAGGCTCACTATAGCTCCAAAAACGAGTGTCGGATTCCATATAAATAACGTTGATTACAAGTTTATCTTCCCAGGTGAAAAACAGAGACAGGTCAACCATTCTTCGACTTACCCAGGGACATGTGCCTAATTGATTTGTCCTTCATTTTCTCTCTTCAAACATTCTCCTCATCATATCTAAAATATAGACTTCCGGCTCAGCGCCTATAGCTCAACCGGCTAAGGCGCCAGCCATGTACACCTAAGGTGGCGGGTTCGAATCCCCAGCCCGGACCCGCCAAACAACAATGATGGCTGCAACCAAAAAATAGCCGGGCGTTGTGGCGGGCGCCTGTGGTCCCAGCTACTTGGGAGGCGGAGGCAGGAGACTCGCTTGAGCCCAGGAGTTGGAGGTTGCTGTGAGCTGTAATGCCACAGCACTCTGCCCAGGGGGACAGCTTGAGGCTCTGTCTCCAAAAAAAAAAAAAATAAAAAAAATAAAATATAGACTTCCTGGGCCTCACAGAGAATTCAACCATTTGCCTCAATTCCCATCCCCACTCCTCCTTTTTCTTTCTGTGTGCCCTTTCCCCCTTTCATTACTTAAATTCCCAAATCCTTGGTCCAAAAAAAAACCCATCACAGATTAATCTGTGGTTTGCTTTTTTTGTTGTTTGTTTTTTTTGTTTTTTTTTTTGAGACAGAGCCTCAAGCTGTCCCCCTGGGTAGAGTGCCGTGGCATTACAGCTCACAGCAACCTCCAACTCCTGGGCTCTAGCAAGTCTCCTGCCTCCGCCTCCCAAGTAGCTGGGACCACAGGTGCCCGCCACAACACCCGGCTATTTTTTGGTTGCAGCCATTTGTTTTGCG